TCTAAATCCTTTTAGGGTTAGAATACTTATTGATGGTTTATATAACTTTTCAGTCTTTTTAATATCTAATACTTCTAATATCAATTGAAAATAAATAAAAAACAGGTTATGAAAATATTACAAAGATTAGGGTAGAGTAATTTTAAAAATCATTCAATCCCATAGTTTTAACTTTGTTTTCATTTAAGATTATTTCATAGATTAAGTTTATTTTTTTTAATTCTTGAATTGTATCTTTCTTCTTAATTTTATCTTTATATTTTTATAAACAAAAAATCTAAATTTTACTTCAACTATTAATAATCATTTTTAAGACCAAACCTGCTTATAAACAATAATAAATTAAGCTTACTGTGCTCTAAATAATAAATTTAATGTAGTATTGTATAAAATTAAATCTCTATAAATATTAATTTATACCAGTTGTTTATGACATCTCAAGAAATACTATATATTTTAATAATATTAAACTAAAATTGCATAATCACTTGCTTGAATTGGAATACATTTGTAAAACATGTAATTATCAATCTTAAGAATTTGACAATCACATATTATTGAAAAAAAAGTTATAATAAAATGATTAAAATTTAAATTGTGTGATTTTAATGAATAATCAAATTCAATTTTGCTTTAAGTCTTCTAAAAAGCAACTACCCTTTGATTTAAACAAAGGTTTTAAATCATTCCCTTAATGATTAATGAATTATCCTTATAGGAAAAGTGTTCCTGATGCTTCTAATAAAGGATTCTAACATATTCTAAGTATTGTACGATCAGGATTAACTAAATAATAATTAATAATAATACCATTTGACAATAAGGAGCTATTTTGTAGAGGTATGTTAAACTAGGCAAGCAAATCTTTATAGCTGCTATCTGATTGAAGTATTTCCTTTAATGGTTTTACATCCCATAAACGGATAGAGTTATCCCAACTACCAGATGCTAATGTAGTGCCATCAGGAGAGTAACAAATTGAATTAACACCATTTAAGTGACCATCTAATTTCTCCTTTTATTATCCTGTTTTAACATCCCATAAACGGGTAGACTTATCTGTACTACCAGATGCTAATGTAGTACCATCAGGAGAGAAATTGACTGAAGTAATACTATCTGAATGACCATCCAATTTGGCTTTTTATTATCCTGTTTTAACATCCCATAAACGGATAGACTTATCTGAACTACCAGATGCTAATATAGTACCATTAGGAGAGTAACAAATTGTTCTTACATAATCTGAATGACCATCTAATTTGGCTTTTTATTATCCTGTCTTAACATCCCATAAACGGATAGATTTATCCCAACTACCAGATGCTAATGTAGTACCATCAGGAGAGTAACAAATTGAATTAACACCATTTAAGTGACCATCTAATTTCGCTTTTTATTATCCTATCTTAACTTCCCATAAACGGATAGAGTGATCCCAACTACCAGATGCTAATGTAGTACCATCAGGAGAGTAACAAATTGAATTAACACCGTTTGAATGACCATCTAATTTGGATTTTTATTATCCTGTCTTAACATCCCATAAACGGATTGAGTTATCTGAACTACCAGATGCTAATGTAGTGCC